CGGGTCACCCACCCACGAGTGACATCTGTGCTGGGTCCGCCGGCTCAAGAGACAGCTCTGCTTCAGAAGGAATTTAACCCGCAGGAAGAAGAGGACTCCGAGGCCCCACATTCAGGAACATGCTAGGTTTCCTGGCAGGACGGGGCTGAAAGAGGCCTGAGCTGGCTCACAAGGACCTCACAGCTCCGTGTCCTGGGACAGCATGCAGGTAGCTTTGAGGGATGAATGTTTACAAGCACCCCTTCCCCTCACCTCCCTCCAGGACCTGGGTATGGACTTCGGGCCTCAGCAGCAGTCAGCAAAATGTAGCCAGGACGGCCGTGCTCACCCACTCACCCACATACCATCTAGGCTGCTTTGGCAGTTCACTGGCAAATGGGCTGCTTGAAAAGCCAGAAACGCTCACTGTCTGGCCCTTGACAGAATTTCCCAATTCTTGTTCCAGAGTTTGGTAGAAAACATGAAAATTCTCAGGTTGAGAAGAGATTAGGGTGAGGAGTAGGCTTGTTCTTCAGCAGTCTTTCTCTCCTGTTTCCCAGAGATGACAACTAAATGAGGGGGAGCCCCAGCACGTCCTAAAGGAGGTCACGGTCATATCCCAAAGCAGCCCCATTGAGTCGTGGAATGTGTCCCCTTGAGTCTGACACGTGAATTGGGAATACAAATGACACCCATGAGGCAGGTCCCATTTTTTGAAATCGGGAGCAGGCCAGAGGTACTGCAGCTCAGTGAAGCTCTGGGTCATAACGATGGCAGAAATGCTGTGAGGCTGGGCTGAGGCCCCGCTAAGCTGAGCCTTCTGTCTGCACAGGTGGTTTATCCCCAGTGCCCGGCCCCTAGGTGTACTTTCTGAATGACAGGAGAAATGCCACTTCCCCAGGCCTCTTTGCCCCCCACCAGGCACCCCTGCTGCTCTCCGCCTGAGAGCCCAGCCCTGTCTGCCTTCCCTCACAGGCTGCTCTGCCTCACACACCTTCCAGACCACCCTCTTGGCCAGCAGCCATCAGACGATCACCTCGCTCTGTCATTTCACCAATTAACAATGCTTCCTTGAGAGGATACTCCCAAGTTTTTATAAATTCAGTAAATAACAGAACTTCTGAAGTAGAAAAGAAAGCCGGAAGCATGCCACTCCTGCTAAGGTGACAAGCGCTTAGTGTATGGGACTGTTAGTTGCACATACTGTGGTGACCCCAGTCAGTTTCCATAGCAGCCCACGGGAGCCATGCTCTTGTGACCACCGTGGGGAGCTGGGCAAGGTGATGGGGCTGCTGAGTGGCAGACCTGGGTTTCCAGCCTGGGGCCTCAGGCTCTGGGGCTCAGGGCACAATGGGTCATGAATCAGTCGAGTAGATCACCACCGAGCATAAAGAAAAGGACAGAAGATGCCAGAGTGAGGGGAAGGATTCCATGTGTGCGTGTGTATATGTATCACATGCAGGATACCCTTGGATACACAGGTCGCGTGTCCGCCAGGTCTCCTGGGGGCTCAAGCCCATTGCTGCACATACACATGGCACATCTGGAGGAGGCCCTGCTGTGGGTCAGGGGTCCACCAGCCGGGAGCAGATATGTGGATTATTGGAGGATTTTGTTTGTCACCTGAAGTGGGTCTGACATAAATCCGCTTCTGCACACCTACCTTCATTGTTCCCACCTCAGTTCTGAGACTTGCCCATCTGCACTCAACCCCAGAGATCCCTTTTGTTCATGGACGCTTTGGAAACCTGGAAACTTCTGGGTACCCAGCATAGCATTGAGGGGGGCGGGGTGGTTGATGGTAGGCCTGCTTGTCCCAGGCTGACAGGGCAGCAGGGGCAATGCAGGTGTGTTCTCGGGAGCAAGGCCTCAGGTGCCCTGCCCCATGCTCTGCCACAGTGGCCAGAGGGACAGTGGGCCCTCGGGGTCCCTGGGCCTCTGCTCTTCACCCTCGGGGCAGCTCTGCCTCTCTTGCCTCAGAGACACTCATCCTTTTCTCCTCCTCTCCCGCCCTCCCCACTGCCCCACCCCTTCTCTGGCTGGCCAGCCACATTGATGGGATTCAGAAGTAGGATGGTGGGTGACTTGGGGCTCTCAGGTGATGCTCGGCGCGAGTTTGGAGTGATGTGAATTTGAGTCCTAGGTCAAAAGGTCATTAAATGTTTTCAACTCTACTGACATAACTAAAGTACAATAAAATGTGGATCTTTAAGGTGGGATTTGAGGGATCCCTGGGTGGCGCAGCGGTTTGGCGCCTGCCTTTGGCCCAGGGCGCGATCCTGGAGACTCGGGATCGAATCCCACGTCGGGCTCCTGGTGCATGGAGCCTGCTTCTCCCTCTGCCTGTGTCTCTGCCTCTCTCTCTCTCTCTCTCTGTATGACTATCGTAAATAAAAAAATAAAATATTTCTGAAAAAAAAAAAAAGGTGGGATTTGATAAGCGTTGGTCTGTGTGTGGGCCTAAAACACTGAAGCTCAGGGAGCAGAATCGGAGCCACAGAGGCTGCAGACAGGAGAGCCGGGCATTGTGCTGTTGTATGTGCACGTGGTGTCTGGTTGTCATGTCACTGAGGAAGTTAAAAGACAGTGGGACCACTACTCTGTTATTTAGGGAATAAGGACGAGCAGATCTTTGAAACAGACAGCCCTGTCCTCAGAGGCCTGCCCCACATTCTCTGGCTCCAGCTCCCATGGGGGAAGGAACGTGATACAAGTCTGTGGCGGCCTCTGTCGAGGATGATTCAGGTTTCTCTGTGATCTATAGAGGGAATATTCTGTCCATGCCCACTTCGGAAATATTGCCGGAAAAATTGAGTGTCATTTTGCTGCCAGCTTTTCAGGAGTACCCTCATCATGTGTGGTGACAAGTGGCCATGCAGAGTGGGTCCTGGATTTCGGAGATCAAAAATGAGAGTTTTCTTTGCGAGAGAAATAGGGAGAGAGAGAAAAGCTATTTGCGTGAACAAGAAGCATCTGTTGAGCCCGCAGCATCACACAGCACCCCAGTGAAGTCTTTTAAACATTGTGTCACCGAAATATTGAAATGCACTGAGCTTTAATGTAAAGAAAAGACTTGTTGTTTTTTCTCCTCCTCCAGGGGAGGAGACGCTGGGCTGTGCTTCCTGGATGCCACATTGGCCTTCAGGGGTCAGAAGACTAGATCTCTTACTAATTGTGACAATAAACTGTTCTTAACAGAAAGAGAAGTGGAAGTGCTGATGGCATGTTGGTGTCAAAGGGCCCTTTACATGGGCCTCCTGGGCCTTCACCCAGTTGTGGCGGGACCACCTGCTTCCTGCCTGCCTGAGGCCTTACTCTGCTGTGAAGTAGGCCCTCATGTAGGCCTTGTTATTCCTGTGTGTGAGGATCAGGAAGAGGGGAGCATTGTGGTGTGCAGGTGCCAGAAGGGGTGCTCTTCTCTCAGAACCCCAGGTGGGCACGGAACCATAGTCCATCCCACAGGGCGGACCTCCCCCCCCCCCCTTGACCTTGCCGAGCTGGCCCCCGTTTTAGGCAAACTCACAGGTGGTGTCTGAGGTGTTTAGGTTACCATGACTGGGAGACAACAGCGAAGGGGCATTCAGGGGCTGGTTGGGTGCTTTCCAGGGCTTGGGAGCTGGGGTCTGGTAGGTCTGGTGGGCCTGGTGGCTTCTGATTGGTGTAGTATGACGAGCTGGCTTCTCAGAGCTCTATTCACTCATCCTTTCTGTGAGAATATTTTAGGGGCTGCCCTTTCCCTTTTATGGTCTGTTCATTTCAGTTGGCTTTGTAGGAAAGAACATTCTGTGGAAGAGGGAAAGATTGCCAAGACCCGTCCAGTCCAGCCTCTTCCTGTTTGTTGTGATGCTCAGAGGCAATTAGCTCATTTCCATGGGCCTCTGGAATTCCTTCGTGGATATAACGTGTGTTGGCATCCTGTCCTTGGAAGTTCAAAGGGCTTGTTGCCCACAACAGAGGGCAGCGTCACCAGCACCCCTGAGGGAGTGTGCTGTGGCCCAGGGGAGGGATGCTTCCCAGAAGAGTCGTTTCTTCATTTCTGCTTGTTTGTGTGTAAATCTATTTATAGTAGATGAAAGGACAGATCCAGCCAGCAGTGGGTAATAATGATACAGTTTACGGGGCCTTAGCCAAAATGTTGACATTGCTTATATTATCCTGTTGCCACAAATGGGATGCAAAGTCTCCCTCTTTGAAAGGCAATAAAAACAGGGAAGGAAGGAAGCTTTTGAGGTGCTTGTAATCACTTCCATGTAGGGCTGGTGCTGAGCCAGTAGGGGAACAGAAAGTTTAGACTGCTCACTGGGTACAGTTGACAGGGCTTTGGGGCAGTAGGTGGGCCTGCGACTGAAATCCAAACACCAAATTCGGGTTGACTCTCCACCTAAAGAATGTGCTAGAAGTGCCAGCAGAGATAGTTAGTGCTGGAACCAGACCCACATTGTCGAAGGGGCTGGGGTCCCTGGCAGATTCCTTCTGGTAAACCTTGAGTCAAGTGGATCTGGGCTGAACGGCCCCCACAGTCGGCTCAGCTATTTGCAGCAGGCTGCTTAGACCTGTGGCGCACGGCGGCGGGGGCCTGCTCCCCTTCCTGGTTTTTTCGGGAATATAGACAACTGTGTCACTGTCTTGTTCCAGTCAACAGCATTGAACCATATTGGTCATTGCTGGAAATTAGGCAGTTGTGGTTTTAAAGGGAACCTGCATGGACCGCGTACTGCAGGGGTTGTGTGCTTCATGGCCCAGGTAGGTTTTGCGTTGATCTGGTACCTTGCAAAATTGTGTTTATGTTTAAAAACATCAAAACACCCGAGACAGGTCCTTTCTTTCCCCAAAGTTGACGGACAGCCTTCCAGTTAGGACCATGGTTCCTTTCCTTGTAAAAGAAATGAAAGTAAAAACTTACATGTCAGGGACATTAATGTGGTTGAGAGAGTGACTTTTGCTACCACAGATTCTGTCCCTAAGACAGGCTGAAGAAACCCACAATTTGTTGCTTACTGGATTCTCTCTCCTTCCTGAAGGTTCGCCATCGGTGGTGTGAACTCATTGTTAAGCACAAATACACCAAAGCGTACAAAGATGTGGAGAGATTCCTCCAGGAGGATCAGGTGAGTTCCATTTTTGGGAGTTGGGGTCTTTCAGTGCTGCCCTCTCACTGCTCAGTGGACTTGGTAACACAGGGACCCAGGTAGTTAACTTCTTCACAACAAGTTATTTAAACATTTAGAAGGAGGTAGGAGCTGACGTGACACACGTTGGACTCGTGTTCCCCCTCTGTGTCCATTTATGACATGAATCATACCCTTAACAGCTGCTGAGGTTGGACCAGGCTGTGGACCAGTCACCACCACATGACGCACACAGACCTCACACAGCATTGCCAGGTCTCGGGTCAGGTGGTGGCTTAGCTGTCACAGTGTGTGTCCGTGTCTTCAGTGGCCCTACTGTAATGTGTGGAGGGTAGACTGGTTGGGTGAGCCCCGACTAGTCAGGACAGACTGGTCTGTACCTGCACCAGCCACACCAGCTTCAAGTGTCCTTCCTCTGAGAACTTTCCTCACTCTTCACGGGGGGGGCGGGGCGCGGCGCAGGGGGAGGCAGTCACCTTCCCAGGAGCCCGCAGGAAGCACGGACATGCACAAACGTGCATGGGGATGCCCTCCTTGCCCCTGTGCCCCACCTACACCTCCTCATGGCTGCATGGGCCATGGGCCATGGACTCTGTCAGCTGCTGGAAGGTGGCCTGCAGCTTGTTGCCATTAGCGTGACCATTGTGTGCTGCCAAGCAAGCCCTGTGCCAGGCACTGTGGGCTGATGGGATGGAGCTGCGGGTGGGGTGGGGCAAACAAAGGGACTTTTGAGAGGGCCTGAGGATGGGGGGCAGCCATTGAGGGAGGGCTCGTTCTTCTCACAAAGAGAAACTACATGACTTTGTAGCAGAAGAAATGTCACATTTGCACAGTTGGAGCAGAGGTGTTTGGAAACACAGACAGGAACAAAATGTAAAAGCAATTTAAAAGTTTCTTCTGAAAACCAAAAGTAACTGCTTTTTAGAACCAAGAGCTTTGCTAAGAAGGATCACCGTAACTCAGCTTTTTCAGGGGAGGGTTTTTGAGCCCCAGACTAGGAAGTTTTTATCTTGTGCTCTCTTCAAGATCTTCCTTTTAATTTGCTCCAGCAGCATGTAATCCCTGGCATAACTCTCCTTGAAACAAGAGAAAAGGCAGAACCAAAGGGGCCTTTTGGTCTCCCCAGAACATAATTGGCTATTTTAAAACTTTAGGAAAAATGCAGAGGTGTGTCTGTGTAGCATTGTTTTTGAAACTGCAGCGATGGTGGTTGCTGCCGGGGTGGGAGGCTGCTAAGGGGCCCGAAGCAGCGGCACCTTTTCCCAGGGGCTCGAGGACTCTTCCTGCCGGGGTGCCACGGACATGCTGGTGTCCCAGCACACTGCCCTGGGAGGCTGTTCTGCAACTGTTGACACGCACACTGTGCCTCCGGAGCTACTTTCAGCCACGCATGTTGCTGTGGCAGGTATCGTGGGGACCTGCCTGCCCGTCACCCCTGGAGAATCAGTTGGATCACCAGGGCTCTGTGGGTGGGATGGCTGGCTGAGAGTTCCGTGTGGTTTAGTGTGAATGAGAGAGAAGGGACTTTAAGCTGGGGGTTTCTGAAGTACAGCTAGTCACCTGTCTTTTCTAGGGTCTTTGTAATCTCCAGACGGCAAGATTGTGTGTAGGCAGCACATGTGTCCACATGGATGCATCATTTCCTTTCTTCCCTGCTCTGCCTCTGTGCCCCGCAGGCCATGGGCATATACCTGTACGGGGAGCTGATGGTGAGCGAGGATGCCAGGCAGCAGCAGGTTGCCCGCCGGTGCTTTGAGCTGACCAAGGAGCAGATGGATAGATCCTCAGCCCAGGTGGTGGCCGAGATGCTGTTCTGAAGAGGTGATTCTCTGCCTTCCCTGTCTCTGCCACCCGTTGCTAACCGGAGATTTCTCAGAGAAGCCACAAGAGCCAACAGCGAGGTGCTTGGTGGCTGGTGGCCCAGGAGTGCAGCCTGACCAGACGGGCCCTGCAAGCAGAGGCTGCGCACCCCAGAGCAGAGCTCCCCTTGGCACTGTTCAGGCCACCTAGGGTTTTGTTACTTGGGAAAAACACGGGTCAGAATTTGGAGTAGGTTTAGACAGTGGGCTGGGGAGGCTGGAGGACCTGCCAGAGGGCTCATGCAGGAGCAGCACATTGCCGGGTTACCCCAGACCCTGAGCTCCATGCAGATGTGTGTGTACGTCGGTGGCCCCTGGCTGCCCATCTGCAGAGGACCTGAGAGGCCCAACTGGAAGGCTGGTGGAAGGGCCTTGGCCAACGTGCGCCACGTGCTCCAATGCAATGCTGTGCCCGGCTGCTTCCTCACCTCAAGTTGGAGTAGAATTTCTCCCTGGTCTACACTGGAGTGGGGGCCTTAAAGTATTTAAACTGCTTCCTATTAACTGTGCTTGGAGTTGGCCGGTTAGCTGTACATCCTAGCAGTTCATGTGTAACTGGGTGTCTACGTTTTAGACGTCACATCCCAGTGTGACAGGAAGCGTTAGGTAGAGTGGAGGGGTTGTGAGGCATTCCTGCAAAGGCCACCACGGCTTCTGTCATCTTCTCAGTTGTTCCCCAGGCTTATGACATAATAGGGCCTAATTTTCTATCTTTTTAACTGTCACATCAAATCTCAAGCATTTTTCATGTTTTACAGAATTCTTAATGGTTATTTAATATTTTATGTGGATGTTCTTAACCGGTCGTCAGACTTTCAGCATGCTTCTGATGTTTTGCGGTTAACAAAACCATTTCTAACATATTTAGGTATATTTATTTGAAAGGACTCTTGATACTAAGGAGAAAAAAGGGTTTTCTAAAGTGTGATCCTGTTCTTGCAGAAGAGTCCAGGAACTGTGCAACTGGTGGTGGGGGGGGGGGGGTCACGGCGAGCTCCATGGCTCTCACTTCTCCGTCATGAGTTTTCAGGGTAGACCTGGTCACAGGTCTGCTCCCTTCTTGGAACTCTTCCTTCCTGTCCCTGTCCCTTGGGGATGAACGCAGGGCCATGTGCATGCCCTACCCCATAGCCCCTTCCCTGTGACGGTGGCACTTCAATGGAGGTTGCCCTGACCCCACACACTGAGAACCCAGCCCCGCCAGGGTGGAGGCAGCTGTTGGTTGTACTTTTCATTTCATGTTCCAAAGCTGCATGGGTGAGTGTGGTCACCTCTGAGTCCTGCTGTAGGCTAGGCCTCTAGGACTCCAGGTAAAACACGCAACACGCCGAAGTCAAGGCCACGTGGTAGCTAGTGGGCAGACGGCAGCACCCGGCGTGTGCAGAAGGCAGCGTGTGCGGTGTGGGCTGTGAGCAGGCGCGGCACTGCTCCGAGTGCTCTGGCTGCTTGGGTTCCTGGCATGCTGATTTGTGACTTAAGATTAAAATCACATTGCCAGGGATTACCACGCATCCATGACCTGGGCTGCTCCTCCAGAAGCCGTAGTTCTCTCTCTCTGCAGTTCGGAGAACAGATGCATCTTGTAGCTCTTCTCCAGAAACAGAAGAAGCAACAGCCGTGGAAGATGCTCGGCGGCCCATTCCTTATGCCCAACCGACGACCTCTCTGCCGAGGTGCAGAGCTTAGCTGATTGGTGAACAGTGACTGGTTTCCGCTTTGTTCACAGTGGCTAAGTTCTGCACCTGAAGAGAAGGTGAGATGGGGACAGTTAAATTGGAGCTGCTGGGGCACAGGCCGCCGCTGAGTGGTCCACTCCGTGCCGGGTGTGGTTCTGGAGGATGCGAGACCCACTCGGCTCCAAGGATGCGCTGTCTCCTGTCGTGGATGCGCGAGGGTACCCAAAGTCTGCGGAAGGATAAATCCACTAATTAGCCATCTGTCTGAAAGGTCAAATGTATTGAAAGCTGCAAAAGTTATTCTTCTCTAAAAACTAAAGCCAAATGCATCACCCAAAAATCAAGTTAAAAAGATGTGAGCTGTTAGTTGCATGTGAGTAGGGCCGGTGCCTTCCAACCCCGTTGCGGTTTCGGGAGCGCGGTAACCTGTCTCTTGTGTTCGCAGCCCCAGCGAGTTGCGCCGAGCTCCCAGCGGGGGCACTGCTGCCCGGGCTGATTGGACCCGCCCTCCGGTGCCTACTGAGCTGATATCAGTTCTCATTGTACACACTGGCTCAGTTCAGCAGGAACAGGAGTCGAGCCCTCGAGCAAAAAGCCTTCCCCGTCTGTAAGTGCCCAGAGGCTCCAGAGCTGGGACCGCGCCCCCGTGAAGATGGCGCTCCTTGGTGTGTGGCTGGTGTGGATGCTGCCGCAGGCCAGGCGCTTTGCTGACTCGCAGGGGACAAGCCTCACGCGCAAAGGCAGGCCACGGTTGGCGCTGCCCCGGCCGCAGGCCGCACGCCCCTCAGCAGAGCGGGGCTCAGGCTGTGGGAGCAGGTGGAGCAGAGGGGGCCGGGAGCCCCAGCGTCGGGGTCCTGAGGTGCAGGCGGCTCTGCTGTCCTTCCACACAGAGGCACGGATTTACTAGAATTCCTCTGTCGTTCCCAGGCGGTAACTTTTATTGCTGTTTCCTTTTGCAGGAAAGGTCACAGCGAGATTCTTTTCCATGCATGTGCACCCAGCCCTGGTGGGACCGGGGCCGCGTAGATGCTGGACGTCAGAGGAAGGGCACTGGGGCTGCTGAAGCCAGCAGCGTTCACGCCACAGTGCTTCTCTTCCCGAGGCTGCCATCCCCGGGGCTCATGGAGCGCGTGGTGCCTTTGTGCCGCCCGGGGCTCACTGTCTCAGGACACGGAGTCCGAATTGGATCTCCTTCGTGGGGTGAGGGCACTTCTGTCACAGGTGATGAAAGCCGTCTGAGATACATCGGAAAAGCTGCTGTACACTTTGCATATGGCTGCTCTGGGTATTTCTAGAATCCCAGGGAGCCCCAGAGCTTGTATCCTGGTACCATGGACACCATCTGATATGCTTCTCTAGATCATTCCAGAAAGATTCTGCAGGACTGTGTTGATTGATAGGTCTGTTTAGATTTTTCCAAAACGTTAATATGCCCTCGTTAAAGGGGCAGGGTAAGAATCCAAGATGTATTAATAAAACAATGGATCACTATTTTTGTCTGTGTGTGTGTGTGTGTGTGTGTGTGTGTGTGTGTGTGTGTGTGTGTCTTTAAGACTTTAGTTATTCATGAGACAGAGACATAGGCAGAGGGAGAAGCAGGCTCCATGCAGGGAGCCAGATGCCGGACTTTAGGATCAGGCCCCGGGCCAAAGACGTTGCTAAACCACCAAGCCACCTTGGCTACCCCTCCTGTGTGCTTAATGTAATTGTTTCAAAAAGGAAACCGGAGTTACCCAAGGGGTATGGTCTCTGCCGGCTGCTACTGTCCTCTCTCCTGCCTCTCTCCTCATGACTTCCCAGGTGGTGCCCCTCAGGTAGCAGGGTGGGGCCGTAAGGTGCTGTGACCTTCCCTGGCATGCACGTGCACGGACGCGTGCACACACCAAGCTGTCCAGCGCTGTGTGGAGGGAGGATGCTGTGAAACCACCAGACCACGGTGGTCCATGCGGTCCGGCGATCACGCCACGGGCTGCTCTGAAGGGCGGCCTTGAGCCCGGTCTGGCCGCGTGCGCCCCACTGCGCCCAGCCCGTGGGAGGAAGTGTGGCATCAACACACTTCTGCGTGGGAAACTCCTGGTCTTCGGAATTCTTCCGTGGGAGCTTGTCCTCCAGGTGTCCTCTTCGCGCTCCCTGTGCGTGGCCTGTGATCACACGGGCTTGTTTACCCCGCGGTTCCAGAACCCGTCTAACCTTTGAAGAGATACAAGAGCACTGCTTCCCGTGCAGACTTGGAATAATGGTCTGGGTGAGCGCACTGGGCTGCCAGGTGGGGCAGGAAGGGCTCTGGGGCCCAGCTGCCCCCGCCCCCCGCCCTTCCGCCCCCTGCCCATGTGCAGAAGCCACTCGGTGCCTCTCCGTGGCTGTGAGCAACCAGTCAGCCCAGTGTCAGGTTACTCTTGTTTTTCCAAAAAGATCAAGCCCCCCCTTTGTCTCTAGAAGCCCCTGAGGCACAAAGCTCCCTCAGTGCTCCCGTGACCCCCCAAGTTTGGGAACCTGGTAGCTCCAGCGAGTGGTCGCCCATCCCCAGGGCTCATCTGAACCGAAGCCCCAGTCACCGCTGACCCAGTGTGGGGTCGGCCCTCAGAGACGCGGTGGGTCCTTGCCAGTGCCCAGTGTGGACCCCACGGCGAAGGCGAGGGAGGAGCGGGCAGGCCTCTGTGGGGACCTCCTGCAGGCGCCCCCCTGCGCCCGTTACCCATTTCTTCCCAGTTTGCTCAGCTTGGGTGCAGGTTCCCAGCTCACCCGCAGCAGCTCCTGAGGGACAGCTGGATCCCCTGGCGGGCCGGGGTGGGGGTGGGGGCGCATGGCGCCTTTCATCCAACGGCGGAAAAGCAGCTGCACACTTGCGGCGGCAGCAGGGGGACACCCGAGTGAGGCTGGGTCAGCCGCCGCCTTCCCTGGGTCGCCGTGCTCCACGGGAGCACCCAGCACCTGCCAGGAACGGCCTCGGGCGCGGGAGAACTGGGCACCGCCCGGCGCCGTGGGGACGAGAGTCTAGGTGCGCAGTGAAGGACGGAGGCTGTCCGGCCGGGCCCGCTGCAGACCCCCGCCCTGCCCCGCTAGGTTGACCTGGACAGGTCCCCGAGGCCGCCTAAGGGACAGGCGGGGTCTGCATGCCGGTCCGCAGGGCCTGAGACTTCCCTCCTGGTGACGGCACCTGTCGCCTCGGGGGGCCAAGGTCGGAGAGGCCCAGGTGAGGGCGGGGCCAGGTGGCACCTCCTGTGGGAAAGTGACCCCCTGCGTGGGCCCTGAAATCACCATGGAGACGTCCCAAGGAGCTGTCCCCGTGGCAGTCTGAAATCGGGCGCGGCACGGTTCCTGATGCCAGCCCGGACTGCCGGCGCCCTCCGGGTCCTCGCGTCCGCGGGGAGGGGGGCGAGCTGTCCCCAGGGCGCCGAGAGAAGGGCGAGTCCACGCCTCCGCAGGACCCGGACTGGAGGGCCCCACGAGACACCAGTGCGCCCCGGGCCTAGTGAAGGAGAGAGCCGAGCCCATCCTGCCTGCCGCTGGCGCCTCCTTCCGCGGGTGTAAACTTGACCCCGAAACCCACTCGCCCGCGGCCGTCAGGAACCGGTCACCGCAAAGGGGCGCCGTGGGCGGGGGGCAGGCCGCGCTCTGAGGCCCCCGGCCGCACCCCCCACCCCCCGCCAGGCAGGCGCAGAGCTGGTGGTGGTTGAGCGGGTGTATTTGAAGAGCAAGAAGCTGCAGCCTTGTCCTCGGAGCGAGTTCCTCGGCCAACTGCCCATCGGCTGTCCTCCGAGACCCGGGGTTCTAGAAGTGGAGGCGCTCCCTCCGCCCCACGTGTCTGAAGAGCAAGGCGGTCAGGCCCAGGAGCCCGTCTGCCCAGGTCACTTTGGCTCCCAGTGTGTTTGGAAACAGGCGGATGGGTGGCTGAGCTCTCATGTCCCCGGGGTCCCGGGCGCTCCGCACTGGGCTGGGCCGGGCTGCAGCCTGGCTGTCCCACCCGGCTGGAGGGCGAAGGGGCTCCCACCCCCTGGCCTCTGGGCTTGGGGCAATGCCAAGCAGGACGGGAAGTGCAGGTGGGGGACGAGGGGCAAAGGAAATACAAGGGAAAATGTTTCTGTTCTCCCTCTCGATTTAGGGTTTTAGGATTACAGGGTTTCAAAGCATTTATTTTTACTGGGATTTCAAATCAAAATGCAGCAATAGTCTCCGTCCCAAATCAGGTACAGACATGTCACAATCGCAGGCGGGACTCAGTGCCCCAAATACTGGGACCAGAAATAGTGGACTGAGTCCCTAGCCTTCCACTGCCCTTTTAAATGAAGAACTCCGAAGGAAAGGCTTGGACAGATGTTTCTGTGCATTCGGGCCTCTTCCCTGACCCGCTGGTCCAGTGTGGACACTTGGCGACGCGCGAACGCCGGGTGCGCCGATGATTTTAGAGCTTTGTGCTCTGGCCCAACCACTCCCTGGGCCCGCGGTGGGGGGCGGCGGGGGCTGTGCCCGCCCCTGCAGCAGGGCAGCCCCCACCGGGCCGGGCAGGCCCCCCAGCACCTGTGCCGCGTGGCCTCGGAGCGCCCGCCACACCCCGTTCCTGAGAGGTCAGGGAGGTGGGAGAGGGGCTGCCGCTGGCCACACCGGCAGGTGACAAAGTGCAGCCGCTTTGGGATTAGACGGTCCGCCGAGGGCCCTCTCCCCGGACACCCCGGGCACCCAGCACCCGGCCGCAGGGCCTGGGGCGGGGACCCTCTGGGCCGGGCCCAGCTGTGGCGGAGCAGAGCCTCGCTGGAGCCCCGAAGCCCCGGGGAGCTGGGGGGCGGCCTGGGCCTCCCGGGCGGTGCTGGGGCAGGGGAGGGCGCGGACCCGCCCCCCGCCCGGGTCCCCGCCATGGTCCCTGGGACAGTGACCTCGGCCTTTCCTGGCCGGGCCCCCGGGTTTTACAACGTGGAAGAGGGGAGGCGGGTGGGGAATAGCCGGATTTTACGGGGTCTTCCCAGCCTTCGGGGCGTCTGCGAGATTGATCGGCTAAGAAGGCATTCCTGCTGCAGTCCAGGGGGCCTGAAAGAGGCAGGAGGCCGCCTCAGCACCCCGCGGGGAGCCTCCCGGGGCGGCACCTGCCGTGGCGCAGTGAGAGCCGGGCCTCGGAGCAGCGGGCGCTCGGGAGCCGCCGGGGCGGGGCTGCCGACAGCACCACACCACACCCCGCGTGCCCGTGCCACACACGTGGGTCCCGGCGTCAGTGACCACGTGTTCCCATCTGCTCCGGCCGCGCCTACACTGACCTGGCTCCGCCGAGGGCTGCAGAGAAGTGAGTCCAGGCGTCTGGCTCCTGGGCCTGAGGACGCGGTGGCCCGGGCTGGCCTGCTCTGAAGGCTCGTCCACCACTTGCTGGGGCCCCGGCTACCTCCGGCTGCTCTGCCTCTTCCGCTGTTCCCCGGGGGGCAGGAGGGGGGGGGGCTGGGGAGCCGGGGGGCAGGAGGGCCGGGGGGTGCAGGAGGGCCAGGGGACTGGGGGCAGGGGGACAGGGGGGCCGGGGCGCCAGGGGGCAGGAGGGCCGGGGGGCAGGGGGGGGGGGTAGGAGGGCCGGGGGGCGCAGGAGGGCCAGGGGACTGGGGCGCAGGAGGGCCGGGGGCCGGGGGCCCAGGGGGGCAGGGGGCCGGGGGCCCAGGGGACAGAGGGGCCGGGGGACAGGAGGGCCGGGGGGCAGGGGGACGGGGGGGCCAGGGGACAGAGGGGCCGGGGGGCAGGGGGGGCAGAGGGGCAGGAGGACCGGGGGGCAGCAGGGCCAGGGGGCCAGGGGCCAGAGGGGCCGGGGGACAGGACAGTAGGGCCGGAGGGCTGGGGGGCGGGGGGGGGGCAGAGGGGCAGGAGGGCCGGGGGACTGGGGGGCAGGGGGGCAGGGGCGCCGGGGGACAGGAGGGGCTTGGACTCCCAGACTCAGGTAGGAACGTGGGTGTGTGAGAGCAGGGAATGCTACGTGAAATAGGAAAACATTTCTTCTACGTCAGGGAAGTCCTGTTAAAAACTTTTTATGTATCTGAGTAATAGGCTCTCTTTCCAGGGCAGCAGCAGCCTTCCTCTCTTCCTTGCTCTCTTTCCAAACAGAATTGCTAGAGCCTTCTCTGGAGAAAAGCCCAGCCTAGACTTCAAGATGCTGACAATTTGATAAAGAAAAAGGCTGGACATTTTGTTTTGTAATACTTCTTTTCACTGAAGAAGTGGCGATCCCATTTGATTTCCATGTACTAAATCCCTGTACAAATCAATTCCACAAATGCTCATTGGGCATCTTTTATATGTCTGCAACTCTCCCAGGCACCTGTGGTGGAGACCATCAAAGAAGAGTAAGCAGACTATGTTAAGTAGACTACCTGGTGTCTAGAAGGAGTGGTATGTGGTGGACAAAAGCTGAGGTAGTACAGGGGGAGGGGTGGAGATTGGAGTGCCACTGTCAATGTCAGGGAGGCCTCATGGAGGCAGTGACCTGTGAGCAGGCAGGGGAACTGGCCTGCATGTCTGGGAGCCCAGGACAGCCCGTTCAAAGGCCCTGGGGTTGGAGTCACTGCTGGGGGTTCATCTGGTGGACTTGGTGGTGGTGGGTGGGTTAAAGAATTGCAGAGAAAATTAGGAGATGAAGTCAGAGAGTAAAAGGGGATCCAGATTGTGTCAAGCCTTGAAAGCCATTTTAAGAGTGTTGGGTTTAGTGTGGAGGGTCAAGAAGTTAAAAATAGAGCTATCCAACGACCCAGCAATTGCACTACTGGGTATTTACCCAAAGATACAGATGCAGTGAAACGCCAGGACACCTACACCCCAATGTTCATAGCAGCAATGTCCACAATAGCCAAACTGTGGAAGGAGCCTCGGTGTCCATCAACAGAGGAATGGATAAAGATGTGGTCTATATATACAGTGGGACATTCCTCAGCCATCAGGACAAACACCGACCATTTGCTTCGATGTGGATGGAACTGGAGGGTATTATGCTGAGTGAAGTAAGTCAACTGGAGGAGGACAATCATCATATGGTCTCACTCATATGGGGAATATACGAAATAGGGAGGGATCCCTGGGTGGCGCAGTGGTTTAGCGCCTGCCTTTGGCACAGGGCGCGATCCTGGAGACCCGGGATCGAATCCCACGTCGGGCTCCCGGTGCATGAAGCCTGCTTCTCCCTCTGCCTATGTCTCTGCCTCTATCATAAATTAAAAAAAAAAAGAAAGAAAGAAAGAAAGAAAGAAAGAAAGAAAGAAAGAAAGAAAGAAAGAAAGAAAGAAAGAAAGAAAGAAAGAAAGAAAGAAATAGGGAAAGGGACTATAAGGGAAAGGAGGGGAACCGAATGGGAAAAATCAGGGAGACAAACCATGAGAGACTCCTAACTCTAGGAAATGAACAAGGGGTAGTGGAAAGGGAGGTGGTGGGGGGACTGGGTGACAGGCACTGAGGAGGGCACTTGATGGGATGAGCACTGGGTGTTCTATATGTTGGCAAATTGAGTTTAAATAAAATATCTAAAAAAAAAATTAAGAATGTTGGGTTTTATTTGAGGTTAAGCAGGAGCATTTGGAGTGCCTTGGATCATGCTGTGCCATGACAGCAGTGGAGATGGAGCACCCATACTGCTTGCAGTAGGGGGGCAGTGGGAGGGTGTCCTAGTAGAAGGCAAGAAATGGTCTGAATATTCTAATGCATTGGACGTGGGGGTGAGAGAAGAATGAGTGCAGAATTGAATCTGACTCGCTGGGAAGATGGAGTCACCATCAGCTGATATGGTGAGATTGTGGGTTTGGGGGATGGGGTCGAGTTGGCAGTTTTGCACAGGTTGTTGGAGATGGTCCTCTGACCTCCGGGTGGAGATGCTCCCAGGGTAGTGGGACACAGATGGCCCTGGAAGCACAGCGCAGGAATGGGTACAGGGCAGAGGTCCGAGGGTGGAGCCTGGGGGCACCCCCAGAATACAGGTCAGGGGTCAAGCAGGGACCAGCTCTCCAGGTGACGGTAGCCCTGGAGTGTTTTGCCAGCCAGGAGAAACTGTCAGGGAGGAGGGCCTGACGGGAGGAAGGAGGGGCTTCCCAGGCCTGGGAGGGAACCACGAACTGCCTGCTGGACCCACAAGGAGGGGCCCGCAACCCAGACAGGGTCCCTGTGCACCCCTCCCTCGGTGCCCCCACACCAAGATGACTTCAACACATACCTACTTTGCCTTACTGTTGGTTCTTCCGGGGTAAAACAGTGGGTGAGGAGACGTTGAGGGACTGTGCTTGAGAGTCTGCAGGTCCACATGAACACTGGGGTCTGGCGGAGCCCGTGCCCAGCATCTTGGGTGGCCATGGCAGCGGCGTGACAGGGTGAGAGGCAAAGGGACAGCAGCGCATATAGTCCGTTGTCTCTGCCTCCTTGGAAGCACACGCCTCACATCGCCCCCGGTAAGGACAGGCCCACCGGTGCTTGCCCTCGTGTTCCCAGCCCCCCGGTGGTTGCACCTTCCGTGGCTGCCCCCCTTTCCAGGCCCTGCTTGTGATTCAACAGAAGATGCAGCTTTCTCCTGTCCTCTAAACTCATTCCCATTTCTGTCCCAGCACCTCCATCCCACCCGAGAAGAGGCTGCTTCAGACACATGGCTGAGCCACCTGTCCCCCCCCGTCCCCCCCCCGCTAGCTGGAGGCCCACAGTGCGTGGGGTCCGAAAGCACAGTGGCCATCCAGGAGGCACAGGCGGGCTGTGAGCCGGGCCTAGAGGTGCCACCGAATGGAGCCAGGTCGTTCCATTCCATGACCCCTAGGGAAGCCTGTGAAAGCGTGGCTCATGTGGGCTGTGCTCTGTGGACGAGCCCTGCTCCACAGACGGGGAAGAAGAATATAAAGGGCGTTCCCTTCACACTCAGCGGGAGGATTTCAGTCTAGCTAAAAAAAGATGGGTATGAGTCATGTGCTTTGGTTCCAGCAGCCCCTGCAGACCACCCCTCATAGGCCTAGCCCTTCTTCCCTGGTAGTAGGACCTGTTTTTAGGTATCTGATGGCAAGACTCCCAGGCCCACAGGATACACCATCATTGGTCTTTTCCAAGGGCAGATTGATATAGACTGCATGGCTATAAGCTTCCATAATTGGGTAGTGAAGGGAAGCTTTTTCTGAGAAAGGTTTTGGTATTTAATGAATACAAAATTAGGAATAATGTACCTATTTATAATACAAAAAATGACTTTAAAAAAAAGATTTTATTCATCAGAGACACAGAGAGGCAGAGACATAGACAGAGGGAGAAGCAGGCTCCCTGCGGGGAGCCCAATGCAGGACTCGATCCCAGAACCATAGGATCATGACCTGGGCCAAAGGCAGATGCCCAACCACTGACCACTGAGTCACCCAGGCGTCCCAATAAATGACAAATTTTAAAAAGCTAACCGATTCCATACATCACAAACTGCAAGTGACAGCCTCTGCATGAACAGGTGGTCGGTAATGCCTTTTCTCCCCAGTTTTCAGCAGCACTGTCTGCTTTGATCACCTCACAGGGACAGTGATTCACATATTTCAGTTTCTCTAGCACACTTTATCAAAAACTTCATTATTAAGACATTTCTCTCAGCTTCTTAGCTTGCTATTGGTAACCGATCCTTCTAGAGCTGTGGTCAGACCTCTGAAAACCTCTGTCAGGTTCATCCCAGACCTAAGCTAGAGGTCTTAGAAGTATCCCCACAGCCTCTCACAGCCCATCCTGTGCTCCTGCATGCCTCAGGTGGCACAGGCCACATGACATCTGCCGAGCCAGGGCCCCTGGGCCTGTGTTCTTGGAAGCTCTCCCTTCATAGTAACTTCACTAGAGGCTGAAGGGATGTTGAACCCCGATTCCCCTCTGCTGGATCCCAGGGGTGCCCAAGGTCAGCCCTGCACTGGCCAAAGAGAAGAGGACAGCAAGAGTGCACAGAGACACCCCTGCTAGTTGCAATTAGATTCTATTTACAAATTTTACAAAAACAGACGATCACAGGAGCGCGGGGCTGGGGCCTCTCCTGGGAGGGGCCAGGAAGTGGAAGACCCCGAAGCTCAAAGCTCGTTAGGGTCCTGAGCAAGCTGCCATGGTCTTTGCGCCAGGGCAGTGGCAGGCCCTATTCCACGGTGGTGGGTGTGTCAGGGTCTGGGAGCAACAGGAGACCCTGCTGTCTTCTCCTTCTTGGAGGCTATCAGGAAAGTCTGGGCTTGGCAGCTTTCTTTTACGTGGAGAAAAGCCAGACCTGTACCGAAGCTGGCCCCAAGCTATGACATTGTGCAGGGGCTTAATGAGCCACCTTTCCAGGTTTTCTGTGTGTGAGACCATCAGGCATCTTCCTCGCCACTGGACATTATGCCAGTGGAAGCGGAAGAACCTGCCTGCCACGGACTCTATGGTGGAAAGAAACCCAGTCTAGTAAACCCCACATAGCCTCCAGGTCTCCACCCTGCTGCTTGATGGGCGCCTTCAGCCTTGATGCTCTTAGTTCTCCACCAGCTCACAAGACCCTTCTGCTCCTGGCCCTGACGGGCATACTCACCAGGGCCCAGTTCTAGTTATGGCCCTACCCCTGTGCACTTAAAAAACTGGAAAGAACCCACGTGACCAGACTTTCCTCCAAATCCAAGGCAACTGGATGAGGAGGTGGGGTTTACTAACTACTTTCCAGCCCGCCCCTGAGTGTCTCTGCCCTGAACGGGTTTTGCTCTGGTGGCAGCTGGGTACAGGCTTGCCGGGGTAGAGAGAGCAGGGGTACACTGTCGCTCCCTGCCCTTCCACTGTGTGCTCCCACTCTGAGAAGTGACGGAATGATGTGGTCACTCCTTCTAGGTGGTCGCCATGTGCCCACAATTGGAGCCCAGGGCCTGTCAGGGAGCTCTGCAGCTACCTCTCCAGTTTGGGGAACATTCTTGCTTCCCTAGGTCCCCCCTATGGAGCACCTCTCCCCCTGCTAGTGACCTTATCAAGACGGGAAAAGGCAAGGGGAGAACGTAAAATCAGCAAACTGACCAGCACCTGTCATCCACTTGATGAAAGTCTTCACCATCAGGGAGGGGTCACTCCAGACACTGGAGTTCACGGGGATGAAGATGAAAGCTTTGCCAGATCAGATTGTCTGCTCAGGTGCCGACTCAAACAGGTCTGACTCCAAGGCCTGCAGAACTGAGATGCTTTGTACAGGAATTGGAGATACTACAAACAGGCTGAGGTAAGGTCAGGACAGGAAGGAACCTTTCAGAAATGCAGCATCAACAGTCTGAGGTGGATAACAGTCTTGCTGATATTGTTTGCTGTGGAAAACAGCATGAATGGGTTTCCAGTGGAGCACACCCACAACAGGAGTTTGATTCCTGGTGGGTATGCACTCTCAGGGTTACTCACGACCACAGAGGTTGGTCAAAGCTTCCATGGCCAACAGCACAAAAGAGACGTCCTTGACTCCAAGCGAAGCCTACAACTAATTTTTCAACGACTACACATTTTGATAAAGACTTTTTACATTAAAGTAATAATGGTGGGAGTTACGTTGATGGCACTTTACCAGAACATTACTCAAACTATACCATTCCTCAAAAGGTAGGCTCAAGGTCAAAAGTTCCTGAATATTTCAGATCTTAGGTAGAGCCATATACCAAAACAGTAATGTCCCTAAAACCACAACTTCTGATTCAACAAAATGTTACTCAGACCTCAAACAGGAGCCCAAACTAAGGGAAATTCACAGATTACTCAGACATAAACCAAAGTGGACATAAAATCCTGACTGACTTGGGCAGCCTGGGTGGCTCAGCGGTTTAGTACCGCCTTTGGCCCGGGGCATGATCCTAGAGACCTGGGATCGAGTCCCACATCAGGCTCCTTGCTTGGAGCCTGCTTCTCCCTCTGACTGCGTCTCTGCCTCTCTCCCTGTGTCTCTCATGAATAAATAAATAAAATCTTAAAAAAAAAAATCCTGACTGACTCAACCACCAGACTGCACACAGAAGAGCACATCATCAATGCATATTAAGAATGAACATGAAAGGGGGAAATTTTTTTCAATTGATATGAAGTAAATATTGGGGTTACCGATTCATTAGAAAATTCTAATTCTGAGGCCACCTGGGTGGTTCAGTTGGTTAAACATCTGTGTTAGGTCATGATCTCAGGGTCCTGGGATTGAGCCCTGCATCTGGAGGCAGAAGTCTACTACTCCTGGTCCGTTGGCCCCACCCCCCCATGCTCTCTTTCTCAAATAAGTAAAGCCTTAAAAATAAAAATTCTAATTCCCACTTTGGTTAACCAGACAACTGATACATAATCTCTTCTAATGCTTCCAGAACATATTCTATACTGTCCCCTGTCAGCCATCTTTGAAGTCACATGAGCTCCTCTGGTGGCAGTGATTAGCAAATAGAGTTATCACGGAAACTGACTTTATTTCATTGCCAGGCAGTGTTGTTCTCCACAGCAGGGCTGCTCATGTGCCCAATGCTGAGCAGTGGTCCCCGGTCATTACCACTTTGCCAGCAATCTTGAGTGGGCTCTGCTTCCTCTCTCAAGTGCCCGAGAAACTCCTTGCTGAAGAATTTCTTAGGGAACCAAAACAGTATGGTTTTATCTCAAATCTCTATGGATCAAAAGGACCACCAGTAACAATACCGTGACTTATGAAAAAAGAGACCTGTGGAAAAGGACTAAGTTACTTTTTTAAATGATCAGTAGTTCGTGATCCATTTCTTGGTCCAAAGACTTTGAACTACTCAAATAATGGTTGTGTGTCTTGGTTTCATATAAGGGAAAACAAATAAAAATCTGTTCTATCTAAGCCTTTCCTTTAGTGATTCTCCGACAGCTAGGCAGAGTGGGGAGGGAATGCTCAAGGCACAATCCAGTCATGAATAATAAACTGGACTGGGCTTGGGCTAAAGAATCTGTCTTCTCACTTCATAAAATATGTACGAGCAGATCTTGCCAAGATGTCTATGGTTCATTCTCACGACTTGTTCCACGAAGAAGCAGGCTCACCATTGTCTCTATAGCCCTCAGGGATCCTGGTCCCTGCAACCACGGCCCACATTCAACGGGCTCGTACTAGACGCGTGCAGCTCTGCCAGGAGCTCTCGGGCCAGTTTTCTTGACCTTGGGGCATCCTCACAGAGATGATCCCATCTGTACAAGGTCTGGTCAAGAAAGCCAATAATCTCATGGGTTATCTCATCAGTTGGAGCCACCTGCAATGAGGACAGAGGAAAAAGTAAACTAAAACACTAACTAGACAGATCCATCTCTTGGTCCAGTGAACCAACTGTACACACCCTGCAAGCAGTTGCATTCCTATTAGCTTTGAAGGGCTTGTTTACAAGGTGGTCAGCAGAGCAAGTCTGTTCTGAGGTTGGCCATCCAGCAAGCAGTCATTTCCTAACTATCACCCTCTTTGGACAGGGTGGCTGGAAACCCAGAGAGGCTACAAAGCAGCACCACGTTTCCTGGAATGCCAAGTCACATGTCGTGCTGTGGGGAGTGAAGGCAAGTGAGCGTGCTATGGCCTGACCATCTGCAAAAGGCTCACACTGATATGAGAACTGGAAACTACTGGAAGGAAAATGCCACCCATTTTCATACAAACAGCTTTATAAATGGCATTCTTGGGCTAGCAACCCACTCCACTTGTTTAATAGACATCTAAGGTTTTAACACCTAATTCTCAAGGGAAGCAGGAAACACAGGGATTGTAAGTTCTACTAAATACAGCCTCAAGGCATTCTTAGTTGTTGGGGCCCCTAAGTATTTTCCTAAGAATTTCAGCTCAGCAAAAAGGGAAGGGTGAGAACCTTACAACTGAATTGTGTGAAGAATTTACTGTGATGTTTTTAGACACAAGAACATTGAGAAGCCCTGATTTTGAGAGTAATCGACATACTCATTCTGTGTGTGGCACTTTATAGGGATCCTCAGTCAAATATTGAATCAGCCATTGCAGCCAAAGGTCAGCTTCCTCTCCATGTCCACACTGGGTCTTCTGGTGCACCTGGACTATCCCACTGCCCCGGAAGCCCTTTGATCCGGGGGCCACCACCTCTGACGGGCAGTTGAGGCAGATGCTCTTGCAGCAAGGGATGCCATGGGGCACACCTCGACGGCATTAGCTCTCTTCAACCCGGGCTGAGAGGGGCTCTGCCAGGGTGTTGGGAGCAGGCTACCAGCCTGGGTAGAGTTCGCTGTAGCCCTTGGTGTCCACATTACCACTGTATGGTGTTTACTCAGAATTCCAGATGCTATGGATGATCTCTGTCAGATACAGTCTGTCTCTGTGGATGAAACTGCCTAAGCCTCCCTGGGACACCTTAAAAGAGTTCATCTACTTCCTAGACCCTAAAGTGCGGAGAGTGCCAACGATCCTAGGGTCCGTCCTGGGCTGTTGGCATGCTGGCGGTGTAGCCATTCAGCTGACTGTGGAGGCCACCTGCTCTGACACCGTCATCTTGACAAACCAGCTCAGCCTCACACTGTTCCACTCACCGTCTCTAGTCACACATGCCGGCCTCCCTGAGGCTGAGGGAGGCAACCTGCATTGTTGACTGAGGTGCATCTGTAGAGAGGCTAAATTCATTTGAGTTCAACAACTATAGAACTGAACTCTATTTCAGATGCTAGCTCATTTTTACCTGGGAATTGTTGTGGTCCAGAAATAAAGCCAGCAGGAGAAGGAGAGAGAAACATGAACTCTGGGCAGGAGAAATCTCACCACCACCTGAGCCGCTTGTCTCCTCCTAGTCAAAGAGGAAGTGAGCAGGGTAAGAAACCTAACAGCCAGGAGCAGATCACTGGGCATGAAGGGGCAGGGGTTCAGAGGAACAAGGTCAGTGAGAATTCACAGAAGCCCACGGTGGGCAGGGCTGATTACAGGGGCCTGCACAGAGGCCAGAGAAGCAGTTCGTAGGGCATGTCCTAAGCAGATGCTGGGGTGTGGGACCATATTTAGGTAGGGCTCAGACACGCAGCCACTGCTGTCTGCAGCCCAGAGTGTGCACAGCGTGCCAGAGCTGATGCTGGGTAAGGACAGGGCCAGGGCGCCTGCCCAGGAGCTGCTCTGCTTGGGCCTGAGTTCACATCACAGCTGGTCCTGGTTGGGTCCTGGAGGGCTGCTGGAAGAAAAAGGCCATCCCACCAAAGCCAACACTTCTACCATTTGGCCACACCCACTCCCAGGCTAAGCAGACCCGGCCCAGGGCTCCTTCCAGGGCACTCCCAGAGAGAGGAAATGATGAGATAGAGGGGACGAGAACAAATCCATGGGAGACTGGCAATGGGCAGAGGAGTCCTTCCATCTGTCCTATTTGTAGCTATATTAGCTAGGCTGCCTTCAGCCTGTCATGAGGCCACTTCAGGAAGCCTTCCAGTTGGGAAGTCTGGTATGTTACTAAAAATAGTTTCAAAATGCCCATAAGGACATTTTGTCCAGGAGGCTGTCTCAGTCATGACAGATGTGCTCCAAGGTGCCCAGACAGCTAGTACCTGCTAAACGCCAGTGTATAAAGAGCAACATGGGGTTTCCCCTTCAATAAATTTTTTTCAGCTGAGCTGACTTATGATATTTTATGAAAATGAAACTGGGGGTTTCACACTTCCCTCAGCCTCAGGTGTAGGTGGGAAGCATTAATGTACAGCTAGAGCTGGATGGTTTTGTGGGAATGGACTGCCCAGGAAAGGCAGCAAACCTGAACTGGTGACATACTCTAGGCTCCTTACTCTCAGCACCTTCTCTCTGGGAGAGACTTAGGGTGATCCATTCTGAATAGGGACTGTTTCCCCAGTGGTCTCTTGTGCAGAAGCTATTCAGTCAGCCCTCAGTTCTTCAGGAGGAATTGCTCTAAAGGTAAGTATAGATTCAGTGTGTCTGTGGAAATAGGCAAGTTCAGTGTCTTCCTATATTGCCATCTTGGACCAAAATTCATGACTTATTTATTTTATAAATGGAAGCTTGTACCTCTTAATTCCCTTCACCCATTTTCTCCTCCTCCTCCTCCCCCACTACAACCACCACACTGGTAACTATCAGTTTGCTCTCCATATCTATGAGTCTGTTTCTATTTCATTTTACTTTTTCATTTAAGTTTTAATTTTTATTTTTCCTTAAACAGTTAAGGACATTTTAATTTTATCTACCTATGTACTTTAAGTATGCTCTATGCAGGGCTTGAACTCATGACCCCAAGATCAAGAGTTGAACGGTCTGCCAACTGAGCTAGCCAGGTGTCCTTGTTCTATTTTTTAGATTCCACATACAAGTGAAATCATGTGGCATTTACATTTCTCTTTTTTTATTATTTTTTAAAGATTTTATTTATTTATTCATGAGAGACACACAGAGGCAGAGACACAGGCAGAGACACAAGCAGGCTCCCCGCAGGGAGCCCAACGCAGTGTCAGATCCCTGGGATCACAACCTGAGCCGAAGGCAGATGCTCAACTGCTGAGCCACCCAGGTGTCTCTATTATTATTTTAAAAAATCCTTCTCTTGGGTAGCCTGGGTGGCTCAGCGGCTTAGCGCCGCCTTCAGCCCAGGGCATGATCCTGGATGCCCAGGATCAAGTCCCACATCGGGCTCCCTGCATGAGCCTGCTTCTCCCTCTGCCCTGTGTCTCTGCCTCTCTCTCTCTCTCTCTCTGTGCTTCTCGTTAATAAATAAATACTATCTTTAAAAAAAAAAATCCTTCTCTTTCTTATTTCAAGGGAAGGTCTATCCATGTTGTTGCAAATGGCAATATTTCATTTTTAATGGCTAAGTAATATTGCATTTGTATACCACATCCTTTTTATCTATTGATGGACACTTAGTTTGTTTCCTATCTTGGCTATTATAAATAATGCTACAATGAACATAGGGCTGCATATTATCTCTTTGAATTGGTGTTTTCATTTTCTTCAGATAAATAACTAGAAGTGGAATTGCTGGATTGTACAGTTTTATTTTTAATTTGCTGAGGGACTTCATATTGTTTTCTGTATGTCTGCACCAATTTACATTCCATCTATAGTGTACAGGTTCTCTTTTCTCCACATTCTTGTCAACACTTTGTGTCTTTTTTGGTAATAGCCCATCTGACAGATGTGAGGTGATATTTTATTGTGGTTTTGATTTGTGGTTCCTTGATGGTTAGTAATGATGAGCATCTTTTCTCTTGGCCATCTGTATTTCTTTGGAAAAATGTCTTTTTAAAGTCCTCTGCCCATTTTTTAATCATTTTTTAAAAATTGTGTAAGTTCTCTATATATTTTGGATATTAACCTCTTATATGTATGATTTGCATATATCTCCTCCCATTCAGTAGGTTACCTTTCATTTTGTTGATGGTTTCTCTCACTGTGCAAAAAAAGCTTTTTGGTTTGATGTAATCCCATTTATTATATTTTAGCTTTTGTTGCCCTTGCCTGAGGATACTGTTTCAAAAAAAATATTGCTAAGATTGATGTCAAAGAGCTTACCACCTATGTTTTTTCTTCTAGGAGTTTTACAGTTTTAGGTCTTATAGTCAAGTCTATAATCCATTTTTAATTTACTTTTATATATGGTATAAGAGAGTGGTCCTGTTTTCTGAGCACCATTTACTGAGTGTCTTTCCCCACTGTATATTTTTGCCTCCATTCTTGTAGATTAACCATATATGTATGGATCTACTTCTGGACTCTCTATTCCATTGATCGAAATGTCTGTTTTGTGCCAGAATCATTCTGTTTTGATTATTATAGCTCTGTAGTACAGTTTGAAATCAGGGCATGTGTTACCTCCACCTTTGTTCTTTCTCAAGACTACTTTGCCTATTTTAGATCTTTTGTGGTTCCATACAAAACTTAGGTTTCTTTGTTCTAGTTCTGTGACAAATGCCACTGGTATTTTGATGGGATTGCAGTGAATCTGCAGATTGCTTTGGGCAATAAATTTAACAATATTAATTCTTCCAATTCATAAGCATGGAATATCTTTCCATTTATTTGTGTTGTCTTCAATTTCTTTCATCAATGTCTTATAGTTTTCAGAGTACAAAGTCTTTCATCCCTTTGGTTAAATTTATTCCTACGTATTTTATTCTTTTTAACGCAATTGTAAATGGGACTGTTTTCTTAATTTCACCTGATGCTTCATGATTAGTGTATAGAAATGTAACTGGTTTCTGTATGGTAATTTTGTATACTGTGACTTTACTAAATTCATTTATTAGCTCTAGTAGTTTTTTTGGTGGAGTCTTTAGGTAGTTTTCTAAATATAGAACCATGTCATCTGCAAATAGTGATAGTCTTGTTTCTTCCTTACCAATCTGGATGCCTTTTCTTTTTCTTGCCTGATTGCTATGGCTAGAACATCCAGTAATATGTTGAATAAAAGTGGTGAGAGGAGCATCCTTGTCTTGTTCCTGATCTTAAAGAAAAAGCTTCCATCCTTTTTTCACCACTGAGTATAAGTTAGCTGTGGGTTTGTCATATATGGCCCCTATTATGATGAGGTACATTCCTTCTGTACCCACCCTGTTGAGAGTTTTTTTTATCATAAATGGATGTTTAATTTTGTCAGATGATGCTTTTTCTGCATCTGTTGAGATGATCATAGATTTTTATGCTCTGTATTGTTGAATTTGGTTTGCTAATATTTTGTTGAGGACTTCAGCATTTATGTTCATCAGGGATTTGGGCCTGTAGTTGTTTTTTTTTTTTTTCTTCTTTGTGTGTATGTGTGGTATCCTTATCTGGTTTTGGTATAAGGGTAATGGTGGCCTTAGGAATACATTTGAAAGCATTCCTTCCTCTTCAATTTTTTGGAGTAATTTGAGAAGCACAGCACATTAACTCTTATCTATTTATTTACTTATTTACAGAGAGTAAGCGGGGAAGAGGCAGAAGGAGAGTGAGAATATTAAGCATGCCCAGCATACCCAACTCGCGGCTTGATCTTATGACCCTGACATTATGACTTGAGCTGAAGTCAAGAGTCAGTTGCTTAACCGACGGAGCCACCCAGCACCCCATTAATTCCTTAAATATTTGGTAGAATTCACCTGTAAGGTTGTCTGGTCCTGGAATTTTGTCTTTTTTGGAGTTTTAAATTTACTGATTCAATTTCATTACTTGTAATAAGTCTACTCATATTTTCTATTTCTTTGTGATTCAGTCTTGGATGGTTGCTTGTTTCTAGGAATTTATCCATTTCTTCTAGGTTTTCCAATTTGTTGGTGTGTAACTATTTGTAGTAATCTCTTAGTGATCCTTTGTATTTCTGCAGTGTCAGCTATAACTTCTTTCATTTCTGATTTTAATTATTTCAGCCTTCTCTTTTTTACCTTGGTGAGTCTGGCTGAAGGTTTTTCAATTTAACCTTTTTAAAGAACCAGGTTTTAGTTTCACTGATCTTTCCGCGTGTGTGTGTGTGTATTTGGTTCCTCTTTTATTTCTGCTCCTATCTTTAGTATCCTCTTACTTCTACTAACTTTGAGCTTTGCCTGTTCTCTTTGTAGTTCCTTTAGATATATTTAGGTATGAAGTTTAGGTTATTTACTTGGGATTTCCTGTTTCTTGAGGTGGGCTATGAACTTCTCTTTCAATTCCATTTGCTATCCGTCATAAATATTTGGAAAGTTATTCCCATTTTCATTTGCCTCATGGTATCTCATTTGTCTCAGGTGACAAAAATGCCTCCAACACTTTCATGATTCAAAAATGCCTGCTGCTGACTTTTTGAAATAACTTTTAACTTTAGAGCAGTTTTAAGATTTATAGTTTACTGAAAAGATAATACAGAGACCCCATATCTTCCACATCTAGTTTTCCCATTGTTAACATCTTACATTATTATAGTACATTTGTCACAATTAATAAACCGATATGGATACATTTTTATTAACTAAAGGCCAAACTTTATTCTGATCTCCCCAATTTTTCCCTGATGTCCTCTTTTTGTTCCAGGATCACATCCAAGATACAGCATATTTAATTTTTATGACTCCTTATGCTCCTCTTGGCTATAACAGTTTCTCATACTTTCCTTTTTTTTGTGGCCTGGACAGGTTTGAGGAGTACTGGCTAGGTATTTTGTTTAATGCCCCTCAATTGGGGCTTGTCAATTGCTTTTCTCAATATTAAACTGGTGCTGTAGGTTTTGGGTAGGGAGACCACAGAAGTCAAGTGCCATTTTCATCACATTATTATATTAAGGGTACCTATAGTCAACATGACTTATCACTGTTCATGCTGACCTTGATCAGTTGGCTGAGGTAGTGGCTGAAAAGTGATTATTGTAACTTGCACCTGGAGGCAGCCTGGGTGGCTCAGCGGTTTAGCACCACCTTCAGCCCAGGGTGTGATCCTGGAGGTCCGGGATCGAGTCCCACATCGGGCTCCCTGCATGGAGCCTGCTTCTCCCTCTGCCTGTGTCTCTGTCCCTCTCTCTGTGTGTCTCTCATGAATAAATAAATAAAATCTTTAAAAAAATTATTAAAAAAATAAAAAACTTGCACCTGGCCAGAGATAAAACGTTAGTTGGTACTGAGGTCTATGGACACATGGACATTTTTTTTTAGCTCTCATCTATGGAGTTCATCCACCCTAAACAGACTTGAAATTAAGTGAGGTATGCATTGTATAAAAGTATACAATAGATTTTGTGCTGGGATAGACCCTGAAGAGATGAAACCCAGCATGTGTGACAGGGGAGTCCTCTTTTGCTCTTGGCAATGCCAAGGCTCTTGAGAAGCCTATCTGAACATGAGAGGCAGGGCAGACAGACTGGCTGCTGTGGCCTCCCTCCTCCATGCTGACTGTTCTACTAGGACTGAGGAGAACCTCCTGACTGCTGGCTTCTGGGGTTCTTGACAGTTCCACTTATTACTGGGACTCTTCTCATATTCACATTCAAACAGAACCTGCACAGGGAAGGGAGGAAGAGGGGGTGGGGTTTTCTGGGTGCTGGGAACATTCCTTTCTTGAATTGGTTGCTGGCTGCTTGGTAATTTTTGGTTTATGAACATTAATCAAGCTGTACATTTTTCTATGTGCACATGTTAATAAAAAATAAAAACAAATGCAAATAAAAACTCCAAAAGCCAGTATGTGGATGCTTTTTAAATTTGCTTTTAACCATTTTTAAGTGGACAGTTCACTAGCATGAAGTAAATTCACAATACTGTACAACCATCACTAACCATTACTACTATCCATTTCAAAGAACTTTTTCATTATCTCAAACAAGCGCTCCATCCATCTCCCCTTGGTAACCTCTATTCTACTTTTTGTCTCTATAAATATGCTATTCTAGGTACCTCATATAAGTGAATCATTCAGTATGTGTCCTTTTGTGTCTGGTTTATTTTCATTAGTATAATGTCCTCAAAGTTCATCCATGTGGTAACATGTATTAGAACTTCATTTTTAAGGCTTAAAAATATCCCACTGTATGTACAGACATTTTATTTATCCATTTATCTGCAGATAGACAGTTGGGTTGTTTGCACCTTTTGGCTATTGTTGTGCTATGCTCTTATGAACAGGGGTGGCTAAGTGTTTAATTCTATAAATTCTTTTACACAGAAGTAGAATTGCCAGATCATATGGTAATTCTGGTTAACTTTTCTAGGAACCATCAGACTCGTCCACAGTGGCTGCACAATTTTAATATTCCCAACCAGAAATATATGAAAGTTCCAGGTTTTTTTTCTTTTCTTTTTCTTTCTTTCTTTCTTTTTTTTTTTTTTTTTTAGATTTCCACTTTCTCTATTCCTCACCAACACTTTTTCTTTTCCATTTTGTTTTATTTATAATAGCCATTCTAGTGGGTGTGGAGTATGACTTCATTGTGGGTTTTGATTTGCACTTCCCTAATGGCTAATAATGCTGAGCATTTTTTCATGCTTAATGGGCCATTTGTATGTCTTCCTTGGAGAAATGTCAATTCCAGTCTGTTGCCCACTTTTGAATTGGTTTTTTGCTGTTGCTGAGTTGTAAGTTCCTAATATATTGTGTATATTAAACCCTTATTGGATACATGATTTCCAAATATTTTCTTCCCATGCCATGAGTTTATCTTTCACTGTCTTGCTAGTATCTTTTGATGAACAAGAGGTTTTAATTTTGAGGAAGTTCAATTTATCTATTTATTGTTGTTGTTGCCTATGCCTTTGGTGACATTATTCAGGAAGTCACCATCCAGTGCCATGCATGATACTCACTTCTGACTTGGACCATTTTTTATCCCTCATGCCAGCTGGACTTCAGGAAGGAATTCTTTGTAATAAGAAAACATTTTTTTTTAAATTAACAAACAAAACTCTTCGGATTGCTACAGTGAACACATCTCACTGAAGCCTTCATGAGGAGGAAGAGAGTCATCCAATGTAACTGGAAGAATAAGTACATGGGGAGATAGAAAACCTAGCTTTTGCTATGGACCCTGGCAGCAAGCCATGACCTGGAAGAAGTCACGTCCTTTCTCTGAGCCTCCATTTTCTCTTCTGAGTCATGAAGATGTTGCAAGGGGCTGGCTCTGGGGTCCATCCCAACTATCAACTTCACTGCCTGCCTATCCATGTCTGGATAGGCAGCTTGGTATACACAGTTGTGAAAGGCCAGGCCCTTGGGTGGACAATCCACCTCTTCCCTGGAATGTGAATGAGAATTAGCACGCTAGAAAAGGAAACACTTACAAGGGTGATGACTTCCCAGGCAATGGCATGGCCTCCAGGAGCCCAGAGCAGGAAGTTCAGGAGGAGGCGCCTGCTCAGCTGTTGACACAAAGCTGGTCTGGGGTCTCTGTCTGGGCTCTCTGCAGCTACTGCCTGTAGATCCTTGGCTGAGAGAGTTGGACTTCTGAACAGCTTCTTAAGGTGGATGAGCACTGCTTTTAACTCCACCTGGGAAATAGAATTTCAGGGTGAGAGATTAGGGAAGAGTGAGGGCATGCACCGTTCTAGGATTTATGTGGGACTTTGAAGCAAGCCCCCAGAAAGAAAAGAGGACTGGCGCCCAAGGGAAGGCAGACAGAGGCAACTCATGTCTGAGCTCACACACTGCTTTACACAAACCCAAATGAGTGTAAAAGAAATTTGACTTTCTCTCATCTTGCTCACTAAGCAGCAAGGCACCATGCCAAAAATGGACTTTCTTTTTTTAAAATAAGAAAGGAAACGGAGAAAAATCCTCAGCAGAATGTAGCCAGATTTTTATATTGTGGGAAAAAGAACAAAAAGCTCCTTGAAGACTCGCTTACTATCACAGCCACAAATCAATTAAAGCCGCATGCAACTGGATCTCCACTGAGCCAATGTTCTGATAAGAATGAGGTTTGCCTTTTGCCTTTTGCTATCTTTGAGGGGAGGAAACACACACACAACACACACCACATTTGTTTTGTTTTAGACACTGGGACAGTCTGTTCGTACATGTTTAAAGCCCAAGCAGAGGTCACAAGTCTGTGGAATCCACATAATAATGGTGATTGTTATAGGTCTGTGGGTTGTTTTTGCATAAAAAATACTTATTTCATGCTGAGACTTCTGCTTGCTATTAAGAATGGTATATCAAGTTGTGACTTGGAAAACAAAGAAAAAACTGAAAGCCATAGATCCAAAATGCCACATGGTACTCACGAACAGCTATGTTCTGTCACTTTCAGAATACTTAGGCCTATTCTGAGAATTCCCATGACCAATTTTATGGATTTTGTGAGTCTTTTTTTTTTTCCCTTCCTGGAAGTTAAGGCCTTATTCAATGAAGTCTGTCATAAACTCCAGTACACTAGGAGTGCTGTGTGAGCTATTCTGACCACAGTCCAAGACCGTGAGAAACTGCACCACAGGGCTCTTCCACAGAGCATGGCAGCATTCCAACAGGAGAGGGCTACTCTCTCACCACCTCCTTCTGTCAGCTGGACCCAGCCTGCCCTCATCTGATGGTGTCTATGGGAGCCCAAGACCCTCCTGCCATTGAAATGGTGTGCAAAAATCTCAGAGCGTAAGAAGCCATGTCTTCATATCCATTTTCTTCTTGACTGAAGAAAATCTTCTTGACTTTCTACCCTTGTCCAGTACTCCCTAAGACTGATCTTTACCCAGACCATCTTTTCCTTCAAATTCCTTCTGTGTCCATAAACTTCCACCTGACATGCCAAAAACTTAAATGCTTTTTAATTTGTTTTTAGGTAAAAGACATAAGCTTTCTTTTCTTAGTACATTTTATCCTGCATTATGAAAATTTACATATGCTCACTGTAGAAAGTTTGAACAAAAAAGTATGTTAATCCACCACCCAAATAAAAGTTCTGATGTAACTTGACCTCAGGCTGGTCCTACTCCATTTTCTCCAGGGGAGATGGAGGAAACCAGGTTCACATCCTTCTCATCTTTTTCCCATGCCCTGTGAACACAGCACTCACTATGCACTATGTTTTCTTACAGTTTTCACAATGTGCTGCAAGCAATTTCATGTATCTGTGACACGTAGTCTTTGAGAACATGATTTTTCATGGCAGAATGCTAGTTCATGGTTAGAATATGTCACCATTTATTTAGTCAGTTCCTTACTATTGAAAGTTTAGGCCATTTGTAGCATTTGCAATTATAATTATGCTCATGTAATGATATTCTTATAAATAAATCTTTGTATGGGCCTCTAATTACTTCTGTAAGATAACTCCTAGAGGTGGAATGACAAAGTTAGGGTATGAACCCTGGCCTAATTCTTAGGGATATATAAACACAGACATTTTTTGTTTTTATCATGATCCAATTCAAAGTTAGCAAAAGAAGCTGCACACTGGCTAGCAGTGAACATGCTCTGCAGAGAGAAGGGTGGGTCTGTGTGGTGGATGCTCTTGCTTCCCCATTAATGAAGCTCAAGGATGGCCAGGAGAGGCAGTGCTTCTAGCCACAGAATGCTATCAGAGCTGAGCAATTAACTGGATTTAATGACACCTTTTGAGAAAAAAGCACAGATGTCAGGCTCATTCAAATCTCCAAATAATCACACTTCAAAAGCAGCTCAAAGTTTGTTTCTCAAGTCACCCAACAGACCATCAAAGGCATTAAAGCTCAAACCCAGGAAAGTGAAGAGGTAGGTATTAATAGTGAAGCTAGGAAAACTGGGCCTACTTGCTCCTCAGGACGTTACACACACCAGTGCCTCCAGCTGGGTACCAAGGAGGAAGAAAGAGGCTTTGGGATAAAAGATGTGGCTTCTATCACAAGACAAAGACCCACCTCTGACAGCATAAGAAGGAAGTGAACATGCTGGTGCTAAATTACTCTGAGTGAGCTTATCTGTTTTTATCCAGCATACCAAAGCAACCCTAGAGTAACAACTATGTACGGGTTTTATTTAAAACAAACAAAAACAAGTATTAGAAAGATATGCCAATGCAGACCTTTCCAGAAATTACATTTTTTGGGGAAAATTATTTCTCTACAGTTCAAAAGTCAATCTGTTAGTTTCTATGATCGATATACCAACTTAGTTTATAAACAATCAAACATAAAGTATATATAACAGGTCTTTGGAAATCATTAGTACTACATACATTTTAACTACAACTATTATTAAAAATAAGATGATGAAAACATAATTGGAATTTCCCTTAATTAGTTTAATTGATATTTTAAAAGGGAAATAGAAGGCTTTCTTTTTAATCATACAACAACCCTTAAATACATATGTGGATTTTGATAATTTCTTAAAAATGTTCTATTTTTGATCTGAAGTAAATTATCACCAAATTTCAACCTTTTAAGATCCAAAACTTTCTTTCCTCTGCCATGCAAGCCTTTTAACAAGTAAAATATACAGACAATTCTGTACTAGTCTCTGCTTTTTTTCAAATAACAGAAAACATCAAGCAAATAGGAACACTACTCTCTACATAAAGAAACCTGTTCCCTCTAATTATTAAAATTAGCAAAAAGTGCTGGCAGTTAACATTTTAAAAACCAGCAGATAAATGTTTGCAAGGGAGGAGCCAATGCCTTTAATCAAAGCATTGCTTCCTGTAATCATTATATTCCACATAAAATAACAACTCTCTGCCACGTCTAGTACTTAGTGACTCTGTTATATTTAGGGAATGCCCAAGTCCTTTTTCAGAAGCTAAGGGGTTAATATCAGACTACTTTAGTAAGAGTTCCAAACAAAGCCAGTAATGTGAGGATCTGTTGACTGATCCAAGAAAGCAGTAAGTCAAGACAGAAGCAGACAGGGCCAGGCTGTTGATCAGAGAGAGGACAGTGTTCCTCAGAAGAGCAGTCAGACACTGCATAGCAAATGCTAGAGAGTGTGGCCCTTGGGCCAGGAGCATCTGTAAATGAGGGCATAGGTGGCAACTTAGCAGTAACAGATAAAACAACATAGGGAACAGAGGGCTATGCCTCATTTCCTTGATGCTTCCCAGGAAAGCAGAGTGGCAGTGTTCTATCTCCAGTGAACTCTGTGAGGCAAGATGTCTCCAACCACAAACCCAGGACATATGCACTCACTCATCTGGGTGGACACTGACATGCTTCCACAATGAACACAGTGAACATTCAATGTTTAGGTGCCTGGGGGTTAGTGGAAGCCAAACCCACTATAGAGCCCTTTCCTTTAGCATGCTTGCAGATTTGGAAATGGACCTGGAGCACCACATGCAGTGGGCCCTGCCACCCACCATGGTCTGGGCTCTCTGCAGACTCCCGTCACGTGGGCTGTAGCTGAATGCCAAGAGCCACAGCAGGGCCTCAGAGGATTCAGTTTCTGACATCACTAACTGCTCAGCCGCAATATCAGCCCATCCTCCAAAGTGAATGAACAAAAACCAGCACTCAAAGGGACCTCCGTAGGACCTGGAACAGAACCAAAACACATGGCAGCCGGGCAACTTGATTTCTTTCTCCTTTTGGTTCTTAAAGCAACTGTAATGTTTGTGAACGATTAGCTTAAGTTGTTCTTATCCACTGAAGTACAACTTGCAAGGAATACAAGTTAGACTTGGAAATGTAGCTCACAATGCCACTTTGAACTCATCACAGGAGACCTTCAAAGGCAGGTCTTTCAGAACCCCGTGTGCCCTGAGGACTTCAGACATTTAAACTTTGTATCCAAGGACCATAAGTGAGTACAGGCCTTTGACAAAGAAAGATTCTGGACCATGAGGGACAGGAATGCTACAAGGTGAGAACCTGCAGGCACCCCTCTGCTGTCTGCATAGCCTGCACAGCTGGGCTGCTGTGGAAAGCAGGCCCTCCCCACTACTAGGCAGCCAGCCAGGTAGCTCCTGAGCAAGAAATGAGGGGGTTCCTGGGGGCCCAGGTAGAGACCAGAGGGATAGTGCATGTTTTCTGTTTGCATCAGAAAACATGCACTATTTCCTTTCTGACAAAACACAAGGTTCTGGTCTGTATTTTGGCAATTATGAATTTTGAATGGGCTGCATTCTATATTCTTTCTTGTCATCGCATATATGTCCAAGCTGAAAAGTTAGAAGCTATCCGTTTGTCATGTTGGGAACTGAGAGGTGCACTGGTTGTTTAAAGGGTAGACTCTGCACAAGGAAAAGACCCATTAATTTGCAGTGATCATGTCAGCAGCTTAACATCTCCTATGGAGAAAATGGGGCAAGACTGGCCTGAGATCAATTTAGATCAGAACTTTCCTTCTGAACCCGGGAAACTCCTGGAACAGGAGAGTTCTAGGCCCCTCTTGGCTGGATCTGGGTCTGCTGCATCTGTTCCAAGAATAAGCTATTAAATGTTTTAAAATCTAGCTGTGGAACAGTAGAGAGAAAAGAAGAAAGGGGAATATTTTTTTAAAAAATATTTTATTTATTTAATCATGAGACACACAGAGAGAGGCAGAGACACAGGAAGAGAGAGAAGCAGGGTCCCTCTGAGGAGCCCAATGCAGCACTCGATCCCAGGACCCCGGGATCATGCCCTGAACCAAAGGCAGATGCTCAACCGCTAAGACACCCAGGTGTCCCAAAAGGAGAGTATTAAACTTATTTGTCCCACAGGAAGGAAAGGTGGTGCTCTGTGGGCTGCATCAGTGGCCAGCTGGGTTATGTCTCAAAAGCAGGGGACAGGCTCCACAAGGTTCTTCCCTACAGATCTCACTATAAGCTGAGCCAGGACTCTCTCACGCTCCCAGCTCCAAGGCAGGCATCACACCTGGATCAGAGCTCATGGCTTGTCTTGCAGGAATGGGCCTGGTCCCTCTTCTCTTTTCCACTAGTAACTGAGTGTGTAAGGCAGTCCCTGTGGCTGGCTGAGAAACTGTCTGAACCTCCTCACCCACCCTTCCTTGCAGACAGACCCTCAAATTTAATTAAAGCAGATCTAAGTTAGGTAGGAGTCCCATGAGATTTTAGGTCTAGGTTCTGCTCTTCAACAGAGACAACTCGAAAGTATGCACATGGGGCTGACAGGTATTACAGGTTGCTAGCGTGGCCAATACTCTGAATCCCACTTGGCTACTAGCTCTTTTTGTCTTATTTATTGGTAAGAATCTTGTAGGGGGAGGGGAAGTAGGTAAGTACCTGGCACAAAACTGCATCCATCGGTGATCATGAACATAAGGAGCACCAACCAGAATACAGGATGGCTCAGTGAGATTACAGAGAATTTCATGAGGGAATAGTGGCAAAAGGAACAAATAAAGACAGTCTTAGTAGGTTAGTATAGACTACAAATAAAATATTTGTACTCTACAAAAAAAGTAAGTTGAGAGAAAGCTGAAGGGTGTTATGTTAAAGGAACTTAGAAAAGCCTAAATGTGACTGCTTTTAGGAAAATAATATATGTGAGAGGGTACTTAATATCATGTGAGAAGGTAATTTAGGGGTGCCTGAGTGGCTTAGTTGGTTAAGCATCTTCCTTCAGCTCCAGTCATGATCTCGGGGTCCTGGGAATGGAGTCCAACGTTGGACTTCCTGCTCAGAGGGAAGTCTGCTTCTCCCTTTCCTTCTGCTCTTCCCTCCCACCCCTAGCTCATGTCTCTTTGCTTTCTCTCTCAAATAGATAAAATCTTTAAAAATTAATTTATATTAGAATGGGTTTTCTAACTTTGAACAAATATTTATTAAAAAGAGGAGAAAAGGGGGGCATTTTTATCCTACTGTGCAGGAGGTTAGAATTTCCTTCCCTAGAGAATACAGAGGAAGGGAGAAGACCAAGGGATCCAGAGGGCACCACCTGTCTCCTGTATGGCTGGGGCAGGGGCAGGATGTGGACGCTGCTTTTTTTATAGGGTGGGTCTATTCTTTCTTTTGTTATGCTTGTATATTTCAAAATCCAATGCCGGCCATTATTCAGGATGGTTTCTATACAAGGTATTTACATACTTATCTGTTGATTCTGAGCTGCTCAAAGTGATACATGCAGCTAGTTATCTGCTTCCTCCACTTCTCACTCAGCAACATGCTTCCCTGTTTGGAGAAGGTTACAGACCAGTAATGCCATCCCCTGTCAGCCCTCTGTAAAGTGAAGATGCAGATCAAGAGAAACCACTGTGATGCAGACCTAGGAGTCGTCAGGATTTGCCTACCGGTGCGTTTGGTCTTCAACTATTTCTCTGAGCATTTCAGAAATATGTTTCAGTGTCTGAAGCCACAGTTCCTGTGGGATCTCTGTGGGTAGAGAGACAGAACAGAGAGAGCTGAAGGAAAGTCAAACCTATTAGGATCATCTGCAGCAAGAACAGAAGAGCTTTGGAAAAAGGCCTTATTTTTTCTGGTCCATGGGACCCACACCACTGGTCTCATGCTGTTCCCAGCTGAGGTCCAACCTTTAGGACTGGGAAGATCCTCAGTGTTACACAGAAAAACTTCAAAGGCTCTTTAACTCAGGTCCACAGAAGTAGACCAACTTCATAAGCAGCCCACCCTAGGACTGGAAATGTTATGCTACAGATACCACAGGTTTTCTTCTTTTCTATCCAACACCTCCCACCCCCCAACACTGACAATTTGTGATTTCAAAGTACATGGGGATGGTAATAAAAGTTCAACAAGGAACTAAGGATAAGATGCCCAACTGTTTTTCCATGATTATGATGAATTCAGAATATTATTTCAGGTTTATAGGAAAGAAAAGGCCAGGAAAATAATACATGGGTATCATACAAACAAATGTGTTTTCTTGAGTTAATTTTTCTGGTTTAATAATTATTCCATGGTTTTAGACACATCTGAACATGTATGTATCTGCAGTTCTAAACAACATGTGAAAAAGTTACATTTCCATGCAGAGATAGATTCCATAATTAAATACATGAGAAGGTGGGACGTCTGGGTGGCTCAGTGGTTGAGCATCTGCCTTTGGCCCAGGGTGTGATCCTGGAGTTCTGGGAGCCCCACATCGGGTCCCTGCATGGACCCCGCTTCTCCCTCTGCCTGTGTCTCTGCCTCTCTCTCTGTGTCTCTCATAAATAAATAAAAAATCTTAAAAAAAATACATGAGAAGGTAATATAAGTATGTGGTAAGCACTGCTAACAACTCCACAAATGTCACAGGATCACACATTATCCTTCCCTCTTCTGAATGCCCGTAAGTCTTGATTTGTAGCCTTTGAAGGCACTTTTCATTTTCTTCTTTATATTAAATATTTAGATACTTCCTTTATGTCCCCCTCTACTTGTAGCTCTCGGATAGTCAAGGCTCTTAAGTGATCTATCCTTTATGTCCCACAGGACTTTATAGTGGGCACAAAATCAATTTCTGATGAATAGAAGATTCTACTATTAAAAAATACTTCAATTTGTGAACTTAACATTCATTTTTTCCAAAAGTAATATGCTAAAAAGCAGTAGAGGAGGAATTTCTACTAAAATTTACTTATTTATATTTGGACATAAATCCAAGATGGTGACAAAAAGGAAAAGGTAAATAGCTGCATTCATACCCCAGGTACCACCTTAGTCTTTTGTTTATAGATTTCCCAACTTAAAAAAAAGCAACTCCAATATTTTTTTCTGGAGCTCATCCAGCTTTTCACAAAGGCTAAAGTCAGGCTTCTCTAATCTGCCCTAAGCTATAAAGTGTACCCCTGGGAAGAATATTGCTGACTTTTCTGTCACGTTATCAAAGTTCTCCTGTTGTGTTCCCACAGAGTAAGTTTCACAAAACCGTTGACCAAAGGTCATACCAGCCTCATTACCACCTCCACCGCTAGCACCTGAGAGGAAAGGGTCAGATGGGTCATTCTAGGTGAGAACTTACATCTATTAGAAAGAGGAAGAATTGGATTTTGTAAAATGATCTAAAATTTTGAATCATCTACTTTCCTTGAACAGTTTTCTCAAGTCTCAAGAAAAAGGGAAACAAAAATGGAATAAAAAGGCAATATCATGGGATCTTTCCCTTTTTTCCCTTCCATAGACAGTTCAAATGCCACCTTCTCTGGCAGTCTGCTGTGTGAGTGCTGCCTTTCCCTCAGATTCCAGGCTTCAGTGGGGAAGGATATACCTTTATTCTCTATGCTTGAAATGCTGCCAAAATACAAGTTCCTGGACATGTTAACTGGTCAACCCCAGTTGGCTTAAGGATGGAATCATCATTTTCCCAACTGGATGTGGCCAACAGAAGGCTGGCAAATGAGACCAGAGAAGGCCATGATCTAATACACTTACTGAATTCTTTCAAAAGTCTTCCCTTGGCTTAGTTAGGAGAAATTTCCCAGGCTTTGTTCATCATTTTATCTTTTCTTCTGCAACAAGGCACACAGAGTGGAAAGAATGAAATACAAATAAATGTACTGTCCTAATCTTCCTCAGCCAAGTCTTAGCATTCAGGTAGTTCTGGCTGGCACCAGCAGAGGCCTGTGTTATCCAGAGCAGACTATCAAAACCTAACGAGAGACTATTTTTTCCCTTTCTTTTGGTAAGTGATCATTAACTGGGAAGTCCAGAAAATTCTCGTATCAAAATCCCTCAGAATGTGAGACCCTGAGAGCTTAAAGTGATGCTAGAAATGAGCAATTTCATCTTTCTTGTTTTATAGATAAGGGACTGGTAGGGAAGCGTCATGATTTGTTAGCAGAACTAACTTTCACATACCTTTTGGGTGTTGGAGCAACACCATGACGAGAGATGGGGAAGCATAAGGAAAGTAGGTCTTGAGTGTAAACTTCAGCTACAACAGAATAAAAAATTCAAAACCACATGAGCATTAGGGTTGAAAGGGATATTAAGAACAAAATCTTCCATCATCTGCCCCAAAAAGACCTATTAGTATTAACATGGTCAGAATGTTTTCTTAAACATTTATTTTTTAAAAAATGTTTCCAATAACCTTGTAAATATGTTCCAGAAAAATGAACCTTTTTGAAATCACTTTCTGAGGCTTATGAAAAATAAACTGATGTTTTTCTGATGTCTTCATAGCAGTTCTTTGCCTCACATGAACCCAATTAACTCTACTATTTAAATGAGAGTTTCCAAGGCGGTTGAGATATTAGGTATTCCAGCATGATTTTTTTAACAACAAAAAAGCATAAAACAACAATGGTGCTTGTAATGTTTTGAGGGCCGAAGTGCTATAGCTATTTATGCCTTCAGAAGGCAAAGTGGTTCTGAAGTACTTTTTTAAGAAATTAAAGGAAAATCTACAAACAGTGAAGTGGACAGGCTTTAATGAGTTTTGGTAAATCTGTAAATCTATCTGACCATCACCCCAGTCAAAACAGAACATTTCTGTCACCCCAAAAAGTTCGTCTGTGGTTCCACCATTCCCCAGCAACCACTATTTTGATTTCCGCAAGAGAGATTAGTTTTGCTTATTCTTGGATTTCATATGAATAAAATCATAGAATATGCATTCTTTTGTGTCTGGTTTGGCTCAACTTTTTTTTTTTTTTTAGATTCATCCATGTTACTCTGCTTAAGTAGTTCATTCTTTTATTCTTTTTTTATTGCTTGAAATAATCATTGTATGAATATACCATAATGTTTATTCATTCTCCTATTGATGGGTATTTGGGGCTACTATTAAAAAAGCGTCAAATTAACATTCATATTTATGTCTTTTTGTGGACATGTGCTTTCATTCTTCTTGGGTAAATACCACGGAATGGAATTACTGAGTCGTAGAGTAGATGCATGTTTAATTTTATTAAGAAAACGCCACGTAGTTTCTCAGAGTGGTCGTACCATCTCACACTCCCACCAGCTACTGATGAGCATTCTGGTTGCTCCACATACTTGCAAACATTTGATAATGTCAATCTTATTAATTACAGCCATTCCAGTGGGTATGAAATGTCACCTTGTTATGCATTTATTACACATTTTTCTTGGCAGCAAATTTTCATGTGTTTACTGCCAACTTCTATATTTTTTTGAAGTGTGTATTTTTTTTGTACATTAAGAAAAACAAGTTGTTTCTTAGGAAGTAAGAGATCCTTTAAAAAAAAAAGATTTATTTATTTATTTACTCATGAGAGACACAGAGAGGGAGAGAGGGAGAGACACAGGCAGAAGGAGAAGCAGGCTCCATGCAAGGAGCCCTACATGGGACTTGATCCCAGGTCTCCAGGATCATGCCCTGGGCTGAAGGTGGTGCTAAACCGCTGAGCCACCTGGGCTGCCCAAGACATCTTTATATATTCTGAACACAAGTTCTCTGGCATATATATCTATTGAAAATATTTTCTCCTAGCTGGTGACTTGCTTTATCACCTTCTTAATGATGTCTATCAAAGAAAAGAAAATTTTCATTCCAATGAAATTTATAATTTACTCATTTTTTTCTTGCACAGTTTATGAATTTTTTAAAAGATTTTATTTATTTATTCATGAGAGACACAAAGAGAGACAGAGACACAGGCAGAGGGAGAAGTAAGCTCCATGCAGGGAGCCTGATGTGGGACTCGATCCTGGGACTCCAGGATCACACCCTAGGCCAAAGGCAGGTGCTAAACCACTAAGCCACCGAGGGATCCACTACAGGTTTGTTTTTTTTGGTTGTTTTTTTTCTTTTTGCATCCTTTCTAAGAAATCTTAGATTGTTCCAATGTAAAAAAGACATTCCCCTATGTTTCTTCTAGGAACTTTATAATTTTAGCATTTACGTTGAAGTCCGTGATTCATCTCAAATTAATTTTTCTATTTTGTGAAGTAGATGTTCATTTTTTTCCCATATAGATATCCAGCTGTTTCAGCCCATTTGTTCAAAACATTCCTTTCCCCACAGAATTGCCTTGGTGTCTCTCTCAAAGATCAACTGACTATACACATACATATATATATATATATATGTATATTGTATGAATATATGGATATGTATTTCTAGACTTTTCAGTTCTACTGATCTATCCTTTTGCTAGTACCTCATGGTCTTGATTACTGTAGCTTAAAATCTTGAAATCAGGTAGTATGAGTTCACTCGTTTGGTTTTTTTTCTTTCTTTCTGAATTTATTTTTCAAAATCGTTCTGATCATTGTTCTGAAATTATATGGGTTCACTCTTCACCCATTTAAGTTTCTTTTTTTTTAAGATTTTATTTATTTATTCATGAGAGACACACAGAGAGAGAAAGCGAGAGAGAAGCAGAGACACAGGCAGAGAGAGAAGCAGGCCCTGTACCGAATGCGGCGCTAAACTGCTGAGCCACCGGGGCTGCCCTCTCATTTAAGTTTCTTTAAGCAATGTTCTATAGTTTTCAGTGTAAAGGTTTTATACATCTTTTATTAAATTTACTTCTAAGTATTATTATTTTTATTTATTTATTTATTTGAGAGAAAGCGTGGCAGTGAGGGTCAGAGGAAAAGGAAAGCAGATTCTACACTCAACACAGAGCCCAATGCAGGCCCAACCTCAGGATCCAGAGATCATGACTTGAGCCGAAACCAAGAGCTGGCCATCAACTGACGGAGCTACCCAGACGTCTCCTTAAGTATTTTATATGTGACTATGCATTTGTCTTTCTATTTCTGTCAATTTTTGCTTCATATATTTTGGAACTCTGTTATTAGGCACATATTCATCTATAATTGGTATATCTCCTGACAACTGTGTCATTATAAAATGTCCCTCTTTATCTCTGGCCACACTCCTTGTCTTGAAGTCTACACCCTCTCGTGCCAGTTGCGTCATACCAGCTAGAAAGTGCTTATTTGCATAACTCATCTCTTTCCTTTCTCTTACTTTAATCTATCTGTGTCTTTATAATTAGAATGGGTCTCTTGAAAACAACATACAGTTGGATCTTGGCTTTTTATCCAATCTGACATTTGTGTCTTTTTTACTAGCATATTTAGCTAATTTTTATTTAATTTTTGTAATTAATGTACTTTTTAGTACGTTGGGGTTTAAATCTATCTTTTGATGTTAGTTTTCTTTTGTCCCATTTATTTGTTTTTTGTTTCTCTGACAGCTCACAACCCTGTCTTATGACACCTCAAGTTTATCAGATTGTGCCTTCAGTTCTGGGCCCCAGAACCCTCACACAAGCCCTTCCCACTCCTCACATGAGAAACCTAAGGAGACAGTTAGCAGAAACACCAATGTGGTTTCAAGGCTTAAATCTCCTCCAGTTTCTATCTGCTTTTTTGATTGCTGTCTAGTACCTTCAAATACTTTGAAAACATATTTTGCTCAAGTTTATAATTTTTATTAGGAGATTTAGTCTAATACATTATTGGACTCTGCCATTGCTGGAACCAGAACCTGAAATGATCTGTTGTTTGTACTGAGCCATTACGCAAGTTTAGAAAAAGTGACTTGCTGTGGCAACACTAGTCCAATTGGGCACATTGATAGAGCTGCACTGTGCTTGCCAAATACAACAAGGGTGAGAGGAAAGGATAAAAAGAGAATGCAAAGCGCTGAAGATAAAACATTTCTGACAATGGGAAAGAATGTGGATGAATAGGATTTCTCATAAACTGTTGAGGGGAGTATAAATTGGCACGTCCACATATGAAAACAATTTGGCAGTATCTACAGAAGCTAAATCTTTGCATACCTAATAACCAGCCCTTCCACTCCTAAGTATATATCCCAGAATGTTCAGAGCAACTCTATTTCTAAAAGAAAACAAAACGTGGAAACAACCCAGAGGCCTACCACCACTTTCCTAACAGTTCTATGCAGCAACACCCCACCATGGCTACACACAACACAGAGCAATCTTGGTGAGTGGAAAAAGCAAGGCTCAAAAGACTCCATACAGTATGCTACTCTTGTTAGTTGTTTGTCTTATGAAGTCCAAAAAAGTAAAGAAAAGATGCTTTAGGAAATCACATATATGTGATGACACCATTTTCAGAAAAATTAAAGGAATGATAAACGTAACTTCAAAACAGTGGCTACAGAGGGGAGAAAGGCAGGGCTGTAAGACAGAGATGGGCTATATGTATACATGTAAGTTACTGCTACTCATCCAGGTCTCGTTTGGATATCAGATACGTAGATACTCGTTTCATTAAGAATAAATGCATGCACGAGTGAATAAAACACGGAAAGGAAAGGTCATGGATCTAATTATCACATGCATGGATCACACAGGACACGGGGTATTATGCATTAAGGGTTATGATTAATCTATAATGGGCACTCAAGAAGGCAGGACATCAATGATGAGAAATGGCTTTCAATTAAAAAGGCAGGCACATGATACTCTACATAGAAAACCCAAAAGACTCCACCCCAAGATTGCTAGAACTCATACAGCAATTTGGCAGTGTGGCAGGATACAAAATCAATGCCCAGAAGTCAGTGGCATTTCTATACACTAACAATGAGACTGAAGAAAGAGAAATTAAGGAGTCAATCCCATTTACAATTGCACCCAAAAGCATAAGATACCTAGGAATAAACCTAACCAAAGAGGTAAAGGATCTCTAACCTAAAAACTACAGAACACTTCTGAAAGAAATTGAGGAAGACACAAAGAGATGGAAAAATATTCCATGATCATGGATTGGAAGAATTAATATTGTGAAAATATCAATGTTACCCGGCAATTTACACGCTTAATGCAATCCCTACCAAAATACCATGGACTTTCTTCAGAGAGTTGGAACAAATTATTTTAAGATTTGTGTGGAATCAGAAAAGACCCCGAATAGCTAGGGGAATTTTAAAAAAGAAAACCATAGCTGGGGGCATCACAATGCCAGATTTCAGGTTGT